ATATTAGGTGCATGTCATGCACGACCTGTTAGAATTGATGGAAAAGCTAACTGTGCACATCACTCCATTAACCACAGAGGGATTATGTGGTGATATTCGAACGTTAGGGGTAATCCTCACATAACCCAAATCATAGGGGGTAAAGTGAAATTTGCCTAATTTTCAAATATAAATATGACATAAAAATATAAGACCCAAATAAGTATGATTTACTTAAAATTTTCACGAATTGAATTATAAACGTGAGATAAAAATATGAAATTCACACAAGTAGGATTTACAAATGAGACCTACCTTTTTATCGGGAATGAGATTGGTGATGTGCCTTATAGATATAACACCGTATTGTGAGCCCGTAAAAGCATGTCTTGAATTTATTTTAATGATCCAAAATGTTCATTGTCTAGGGTTCATTGAGTAGATCATCCATGAAAAAATTCAAGCTAATAAGACATTTGTAATTTATAACAAAACTACGTTTATGCTTAAAAAAATAAACGGTTAGTATGAATTTAATAATTTTTTAGAATTATTATTTGTCTTGATCATGTGATTATATTTATTCGATTAATTTCATTTTTTATAAGAATAATACACTCAACAAATCTTATAATATAAACGATTCAGATTATTAAAATATAATCGGAATAAACCATTCGGGTGCAGCACCCACTCCCAATCCCTTTTTATCTCACATTAATGTTTTATTCTATTAAAAATCTTCAATATACTTAGGCTTTATCATTGAAAAAATTGAAAGTGAGAAAACGATGAAAAAAAAAAAAAAAAAAGAATAGAATCGAATAGGCAATAAAAAAAAAAAAAACCTTAACAGGAATTTCAGTAGAAACTATTATAAAACCAAAATGAAACTTAAAAGGTCATCAGAAACTTATATTGGCACTGCATTGAATCTAATTTTTTTGAATCCCTACTCATTTTTTTCACGAAATTTGCACATTTGCCTTTAAAGTCTATTTTATGCCTCTTATCACAAGGGAATGTGAATAACATTACTATATTGAAAATCACTCATAACATTTTTCAATGTGCTCAGAAAAGATTCTCTTTATATTTGGTATAAACCTTTCGAAAACAAATCCTTCGAAATTTCTTTAGTTTCCAAATAGTTTATAGCATTTCTTACAAATCACCCTCTAGCCTCTTCAAAAATTTCCAGTGTCATTTTTCAGAAGCATCCTATACATTCTTCATAAATTTTGAAAGAAGCACATTTTCTCTGTTGAATTGAGTTTTCTAGTAAGTATAGTGTCACATTCCAAAATTACATTACATGCAATGCAAATAACATGGCAAGATTCAATTTTGTAAAAGTGAACTCACTAAGCATGAAACAGCAAAACCTGATTTCTGAAATTCTGACGGCAGTCCCAATGGGAATTAAATCAAAACTAGGACTAAAGTTTTGTAACTACTTAATCTTGGGGGATATCACATGCAGAACCACAATCCGGGCTAAAAAATTAATGATAATAATTTCCAAACCTACGCACAATCTTCAAAATAACAACGCATAATAGCAGACATACAGTTCCAATGAAAAACCATGAACACAAAATCATGCCCAACAAGGCATATGTATCTTGCAAAAATAACTGAACAGCTGCTTCAGTTCCATGCCGTCTCAGAACATAATTGACACAAAAATAACAGTAGCTGAAATGATGATAAATCATTTTCATCAGTCTCACTGTTGAACCAAAACCAAGACAAAATCAACCTCATTGACTACCCATTGTTCAGCCAAAATCAAGACAAAATCAACCTCATTGACTAGCGAAGAGCAAAATTATTACTGCTCCCAAGAAAGAGAGAGAGAGAGAGAGAGAGAGAACATTTAACTTAATTGTAAAAACATCGAGTTTTCCTCGAGCCTCGGCAAACACTAGGAATAACAAAACACTACCCATCTTAGAGCCAGCAGCCACAATGAGAAAGCAACCAATTGACTTCTCACGAATTGCTTTCGCCACAGCATGACCTGGAAGCCATTCAGAGTAAGTGGGCAGGAAGCAACCATTACTGCAAGCAGAAATGGGCGCCATGAGGGACAGTGCCACTTCCTTTCATTAATATAATAACTGAATGAAATCTGATTGGCACTGCTAGTAATTTGGAAGTATTTTTCCTTTCTTAGCATAAAGTTTCCCTGAATTTTGACATACACGAAAAGTGCAAAAATAATGCAGCCAAGGCAAGCAATACACTAGACTGAGGTGGTAAACTGGAAAGGGGTATTTGCAGTGTCAGTCCCTTCCCATACAGTTAACTCATCAGAAAAACATCCACAATGTCCGTTTCAGCTACGTGGGAAGCAATAATATAGAAATACTTTGGGAACATGCAAGATGCAAGGCTGCATGTTTAAAACAAATGATGAAGCTATCAGACAAACTGCTATAAAGTAGAAAAATGCTAAAAAACATTAACCTTAAACAAAATCTCAGCAATTCATGAATTCCATTACTGGAAACTCACCCCCCCCTCTTCTCCTTTTTCACGATTGGGGGATCAGCTGAAAGGTACACATGCATACTCTTATCTAGAGAGTGAGGGAGGGGGGAGGGGAATGGCAAGTATAAATGTATTAAATTCAAAAAGGGGCACCAAGGGGGTGCCACCATGTACAAAACTTTAGAGCAAACACCTATATACATCAAACTACTGAAAAAGATCTACAAAATTCAAAATTTGGTCCAAGGATGGGTCAACGAGAGAGAATGTAAACAAATCAAACCCATATCATCCCAAAACATAAGGATGATACACAAATATCATCCCCCACAAAATTATTAGATCACAGAATATAGGAACACAATTATTGTGGGGCAACACTGTATATGAATATAGGAAGTGGTAAATTTTAGAATATAGGAACATAATTGCAATCTCTTTCACAACTATAGAATCAGATTATAATTCATCAAGTAAAATAATGCTGTGAAATTCATCAAGAATAGAGATGAAACTAATTACCTGCTGGTAACATTCTGGATTAAGACTCACTTCAGCTTTGCCCACGGTTTTTGCTGAAGGAGTGGCGTGCCAGAAGTTCTCTACTTGGAGTTAGATGGTCATCCTATCAGAAATCATGTTAGGTTATGTCATCCAGATTTTTCACACATCAGAGTGCACAGTTAATGAATGAGAAAAGAAATTCAATGAGGACTGAAGAATTTAAAATAGGAAACCGCTATTGCCAAAACACAAGTGGCTTCGCCCAAAGCAGTAAATGCATTTGTCAGTTGTACAGTACAAAACCAATGCATTGTCTGCTTTCTGTTCAGCTTTGGCAATAGCCAGCCCCTTTAAATATACAGTTATAACCCCACCCAACATAGTGACAGAACATGACTTCAAGATAGAATTACTGTAAGAAAAAAGAGAAATTACAGAATAATTGCGGAAAAAGGCAGCATTATTTATGTCTAGCAGAAGAATGTTGACTTGAAAACAGCTTTGCAAAGCTGTATGGTTGAGTGGATAGTTCTAGCATGATATTTTGGACATGCACCCATTTCTTTATAATCAAGCCAGGTTCCATGTAGAATATATTTTGAAGGCAAAAAGAATTTACTTGCATACTAGGAAAATGGATTTTAAAAATATGTCGCGCCCATCGCACAAGATTCCTGCAGACAGCAGGGTCTGAGACAGGTAGTAGGTAGGCAAACTTGCCCCCACTGTCTTGTAGAAAGGCTAATTCCCGTAACTCGAACCAGCACCACAGCGCTGGGAACAAATAGCACTTGACATTGCTCTAGGTCACGACCCTTTGTACTGGGAAAAAGCAATTTCAAAAACTAAAAAGAAACTAAAAATGAAAAAATTAGAGAACAATGCAGGAAAAAACTTAAGGAGCATCAAGCCAGAAAATAGAACACCTTGTACAAAGATGCAGCTGATTCAGATTCAACAGTTTGGTTTGGGATGTGCCCAAGTGATTGGAAGGCATCCAAGGCATCTAGAGTTAGCTGCCAACCACAAAAAGCTACAGCACCAGCATTGGAACTGGAGCCGCTACTACTACTACAGCCTGCGGCAGCAACATTACCATTCACCCAAGGACAGAAGTAATTGTGATGCCTAATTGGATCAAACTCAACAGCTTCTTCATAGTTGCTTTCTCCATTTGGAGGCCCTAGAAAACAATTCGTGTCAGAGATTTGCATAAGTTGAGAGAAAATAAAGCAGAAATTTTGAATGATGAAATGGAAGTGGTCATAACAATAAAAAAGGAAATTCGAAATCAAAACTAATGCAGCTGGGGTATCTTGAGATCTGAAAACTGTGACACGAGACTCAACCCTAAAAGTTAGTTTATGAAATGAGGGTGCCCTCATGCTTACGGAACATCCTCTTTGTACCCAGTGTTGTGGGACTTCGTTCACACCCTCCCTCATGCAAAGTGTGCAGGGCCAAAGACACACACCCTACCCATCCTCCGGTATGTCCAGCTCTAATACCATGTTAGATCACCACTAGTCCAAAAGCTCAGATTGTTAAAAAATGGGCCCAGCAATATATGTCAAATTATCCAACAAAAACAAAAACAAGTTCAGATTCATCCATACGAAAATGAAAGAAATTTATGGCACATATCCACACTACCCGACCAAATGTCCACAAGCCAGGTGCCAGATCACTAATAGCCAGATAAGATGGAACTATTGCCAGCATTCCTTTTTTTGAAGCTTACCACCTTCTTGTTAGAGAATCCGCAAAACAAAGCTAATAAGAATGCAAGATCCATATAGCGTGACGTAGTTTAGGTTTTGGTTTTACTTTATTTACATTATTTATTTAGGATTCATTTAGCTTATTCTATTTTCTAGCCAATGATGTGATAGATTGTCCACATCCACTTAATGGCCACATGCTAGTCACATGACTTAAGTGACTTCACACATAACATAAGGCAATAAAGATCATGACACAGAGGCAAAAGAGAGCTAGGGTTAGGTTTTAGACTCTTAACACCTAACACCTAACACCAAACATTTTTTTTTTTTTTGGGTTGGTTGGTTGATTTTGATAATAATAATAAAGGATGTATGTTTGCTGCTCTCTCTTCTCGTACGTTTCCCTTCCCTGCTTTCTTTCTAGACGGTCATTGGTTGCATGGGCAGACCATGGGTCTGCTAAGAATTATGTTAGGCACTCGGATGGTGTAGAACTACCAAGGGTGGAGAGGGGGAGAGTTGAGGCATCCTTAATAGAGAGTGTGAGAGAGTGGCAGTGAAGGTAAAGTCTCTTAATGAGCCAGAGGGAGATAGATGGTATGACTTCTTAAGTTGATGATATGCCAGTGGAAGTAGTAAACTTCCTATATATAGAGCAGTATGGGCACAAGAGGATGTAGGATCCCATGTATCCCACCTAACAAATGGAGTATGGTATGGGTTGTAAAGCCACTGACAGCGTGTCAAGTGTGTTGGCATGCTCACCAAGTATGAGAAAGGTGGAGCACATGCACGTCGGTCAAAAGATGACTCCCTATGGAGGCCTCTCTTTCTTCTCTAAGATAGGTCAAAGTAGAGCCACCTTAAGGGTATGATCCAAGCAAATTTGACGATACCCTTAGCTCTACTCGTCAATCCACAAGTCCCTACTGATCCCATGCATTGGTCATGGGTACACTCAGGTGTCCATGTCACGGCACCAACCCCAAGGGGTCCCTAGGTCTTGCTCCTGACCTAGGCAAACAAAAAATATAGCATTAGGGTGCCATTTTGGAGAACTCATAAGATCCTAGCTTTAGGGTGGAGAAATTCACTCAATCGAACCAAGGGACGGGGTCAAGTCAAGTCATACTTAGAGATGTTGCGTCCTGAAGATATCCATTGGGGATGGAATGAGGCATAAAGGGTGCATGTCCTAGTTGAGAGTCACTTGATCAAGCCAAGAAGGTACTGAGCATGCTCCTACCAAGTGGAGTGGATGTGGCCAAGAAAAGAATCATTGACCTAACCGAGGGGGTGCTTTGGCCACACCTTGGAGATACCTCGCAGTGCCCCATGTCTTGACAAGCGGTGATCAATCCAAAGTGTGTTGTGGACTTGTTCGTTGGTGTCAAGGCTTGAGTATAAGAAGCCAAGTGCATTAGTGGGCTACACTACCATCCTTGGTGGTCTATGTGCCCTAGCGCTCAAGACTCCAATATCCATGTCGTGGATATGACCTGGCGCATAACTACTCACCACCTAAAGACCCTTGTGTAAGTCTTGATCAAAGATAATAGTTTATTGCACTACAATGGTAGCTTTTATTGCGTGCATGTTATGTTTGGACCTGTTATTCATGTTGTAGAAATTTAATGTATAAAGAGAAATGATTGTATTATTGATTGTTTGATTTTAGTTATGTTTGGACCTGTTATTCATGTGCATGAGAGAGAGAGAGAGAGAGAGAGAGAGAGAGAGAGAGAGAGAGTCCATAGAAAAAGAATGAAAAAGAGTATCAGACTGGGTTACCTATCCCATTTGCCACCAAATAACCTGACTGAGGGTATGCACAATCATCAGTAGGTGATGCCTTGCCACCCTGAGTCACTTCTTCTTTGGATGCTTCATAACCAGAACATACCACTGCATTGCAAGAAAGAGAAGGATGGGCACTGTTCTCCTGAGGTAAAATGTTCATGTTACTGGTTTTATCACCACTTTCAACAGAATCAGCCTTCACAGAACCAACAATCTTTGACCCACTATCTGCCTTTCTGACAAATCGAAACAGCAAATCTTGACTGTCACCATGAGGATCCTCTCGCTCCATTTCTTCAGGAACAAAATCACCCATTAGCCCAGGATCTGGAGCAAATTCACCTGTTTGACCTTGATTATCAGTGACTTCAGCAATTGGTTCCACATCACCAACAACACTATCCACCCTATGGACAGAAGTCCCGTGGATTTCAGCTTCATGACTAGCACCCATTCCAACACTTCCTCCGCTGATGCCAAAGCTAGGCCCATCCATCCCATGAGCAGTTGTGGTATCTGTGTTTAATACTTCCTCACCATCATTTGTGCTGCTAACACCCATTTCTCCAGTACTTCTCAAGGCAGCTGGACAGGTACTATGTTGTGCTTGATTGCTGTAGTTCAATTCTGATGCATCATTCAAATCTGGATTCTGAAACATCGTTGTCAAGGGGAAATGGGCATCGTCGACCACTCCGGGATAGTTTTCAACACTTTCCATAGAATCATCATCTGCACCATGACAGATTGTGTCTATTGCAATAACAGAGGAGACACGTGTTGAATCTCTTGCGGACGGGATACCAATAATTGTTTCATTTCCCTGGTGAAAAGTATCAACTTTATGAGCATCTGTTTCTATGTCAAAACCCACTGAATGGCTAGGACCAGCACCAGATGAATCTCTCCTATATGATGAATGATAAGTTTCAAAAGCATCTAAGTCACGGGCACGCTTTGAGGGTCCAGCTGAGTACTGTCTATCATCATCAACTTCATCACCGTCACGGTCAATGACAATTCCTTCAATGCTGTCGGCCTGTTGCATCATTATATGCGGCCTGTCAACAGTACTTCCACCTTCATCCAAGTTCCGTTTACGTGTACTGGGACCTCGTGATTCATATGAAGCTGCACGGTCACCAACCTCACTGCTGGAAGGCTGCCCAATTATTAGATCTCTTCCCATATTAACGTCATATTGTTCAGACATCACTGTCATGTGCAACTGTGTAGAGGATAACCCACCACCCATAGTTAGATTTAAATCCACCCTAACATTTGACTGTGACTTCCTGTCATCTGCTGTTCCAGTTCCATCATGGTCCTCCGTCTGCTCTTTGTCCATACCATCAGCAGCAACCCAACCACTGATTCCACTGGCAGCACTTACTCCACGTGTCAATGCCATTTTCTTGCTTGTTTCAGGAATATCTATGCTACTGGGACCATACCGAGCAGGACGAGATACAGTCTGAAAGTCCCAGATTCTGACTGTAGCTCCACATAAGCTACAATCTAATAAGGGTGACCTAGATTCACATTTAGACTTGGGACCAAGTACCTTATTCTTTCCAGAATCCTTTCTGGTTGAAGCAGAGAATGATTTCTTGCTAGGACCAGCATCTTGCAGTCGACCATGATCTCTGGTAGGACCATTTGAACATCCATTCCTAGCTGATTGAGCAGAATGTTCTTCACAGTCCAGAACATTTAGAAGCCATCTCGGTTCCCATCCACACAAACTTATCAGCTTCTGAGCCTAAACATGAAAACATAAGGAAATTAGAAAGAGTATAAATACAAAGCACTACTGGTTTACAAACATATAAGATCTCTCAAATATCTTACATGAGAGTATATACAGAAGGTCTCTTCTCTGGTGTTTCCCATTCCAGAGATATTCTCCGCCTTGAAGCCAGATTCCCCAGCTGTGAGAGACTGAGAGTGAACAAGAAAGCGGTCAATTTCTGAACCTCTAGAAACTCGCATCTGCTCAATTGCAGAAGCAGCCACAACTGGGAGGAAGAGAAACTGCAAGAGTCCATCACACCGATCCTTATAACCTCCAATAAGAGCGGATGCCGGAGTAGGAGGAAACTGCACCAAGCTTTCTGCACAGCTGTTTCCTCTCCACGGACAAGTGCCTTTGTGGCCAGCATCTAGCTGTTTGGCAAAGTCTTCCACAGCACTATCAGCTTCATTAAAGATAATTAAGAGATGAAACCATTAGCCATCAATAAGAATGCAGCATCAAAATTAAAGCTCCCAACAAGCTTAAAAGAATATGACAGCCCGTGAGTGTCAATATGAAGTATTAACAGGGAATGGTTATCACGTGCACAAAAGATAAACACAAAGTTTTCCATAGCAAGCAAAAATTATAAAACTGGGAAATTTCACATTTATAAGCAAGATAAACATATGATGAATTCCATTACATTCAATGGCACTAGCTTTATCACACCACAACTTATAATTATGCAATATGTGATAAGTTCCTCACCATATTAGACTCCACATAGCCAATATGTATTGTGATATTAAGACAGTTCCAAAGTCCCACACTCCATTTGGGGAAGGTGAACACAAAGATAATGAAGGCATGGCACCATATAGGGAAAAAATTCAAGTATGTATCTTGTCTCAAGCTTATTTTGGGATGACAAGTCATGAATATTGTCCATAATGATTTACTGATTCATGTTTTATTAATTATAACTAGTATGATATGCAAACTATTCAACTTAAGCAATGAATTATAGTTTATATCACCCTCTCTATAGTTTCATTAAAAATGGGGCAAATTACATATACCCCCCTCGAGGTTTAGCAAAATTACAGATACCCCCCTGAGGTTTGAGAATTACAGATACCCCCTGAAGGTACTATTTGCATAACAAATTAGGAGGCAAATTGTTATGAAAATATAAACCTCAGGGGGCAATTTGTTATGAAAATATAAACCTCAGGGGGTACCTATAATTTCTAAAACCTCAGGAGGGTATCTGTAATTTAGCTAAACCTCGAGAGAGGTATATGTAATTTGCCCCCTCGAGGTTTAGCAAAATTACAGATACCCCCCTGAGGTTTGAGAAATTACAGATACCCCCCTGAAGGTACTATTTGCATAACAAATTAGGAGGCAAATTGTTATGAAAATATAAACCTCAGGGGGCAATTTGTTATGAAAATATAAACCTCAGGGGGGTACCTGTAATTTCTGAAACCTCAGGAGGGTATCTGTAATTTAGCTAAACCTCGAGGGAGGTATATGTAATTTGCCCTTAAAAATGGCATGTGCATTATTAATATTCACACTTCATCTGAAACAATAAGATGTATCATGTCTGATATCAATACCTAATCTGTATTCATTTTTCCAATGATAAGCATAATTTTAATCTCTTTTTTGAGAGGGTGACATTTGTTTTGAATATCATAAAATTTTAAAAGCATATAGAATCTTCAAACTGCATACGACATTCCAGCATTATAAAATTATTAAACAAAAAAACCTCAATAAAAATTAATAGAATTGTGCCCAATCTCCATGCAGAAAAAACAGCACACACATATATATATATATATAGATGATGAGATTAAAAGCTAATATGCACAGTAAAGTGAATTAAAAGAAAAATCCACCTTCTGTAGGCGTCCAGGAAGCTGATGAAAAAAACTGCAGGTTTGCACCACATGACTTGCACTCAATCTTATGAACATCAACATTTACCCAGCCTCTTCTGGCACAAGCCAAAGAATTGGCAGCCTGCATGAATATTAAAAATAAATAAATAATAAAGGTTTTAAGTAAAGAACCAAGCAAGTAGACAAAATGGCAAACACCACCATCTATTACATAGGATGTGGAACACGGTATAGCCTATTGAATATTTTAAAAGGCCAGGTAAGAGGCTTCTTGGAAACCAAAATATAACTTCAACAAATCCATCTAGCTTATATAAATGGAACCACACAAAAGCTGGAATTTTTTACTAGATAAAGGAGAAAGGGCTATCATTGGACAATATGAATCTCCATTTCTCAAACTACAATTTTGTTGGAATCATGAGGTAAACACATCTTGCTATATTTCTGGCTCTCCAAATCAAAGCTCACACTCATTAATTGCTGGAACTAGATAGAGACTTCATGCCAGGATAGCAGCATAATTTCAGGCTCTCCAAAAAAAAGCACCAAATGGTATAAGCATCCAGATACGCAATGTACAAATCTTAACAGATAAAATTTGAAATATAAACAGGCCTCATCCCAACTATTTGTGCAAAGGAAGTCATAGATGCAATTTTAACAATCTAATACATGGCTCAAACATGTCCATGAATGAAAGCTAACTTAAGTTCAAACCTTTGGCTTTCCAAACCAATTTGCTGGCTTGAACGTAGAAAGACGCTTTAGTAAATCCCCCCTTTCCCATGGTCTGCATGAAGGTTGCGATGACCCAATGGCAGAACCACGAGCAGTTGTGCTCAATGAAGTCCACAGGGGCTGTGAACCAATTCCAGAATGTGAACCTGCCTTGGAACCCTGTCCAAGACCCAACCAATCAATACTTCCAGCATTCACCTGCAAGACAGGAGATGATGCCCCTGCAGAACTGCTAGCAAGCAAGGTGATTAGATATTCTTAATCCTTAATCAAATTGTCTGGACACACTGAAAGCCAAAAAGCTCAAACTCTATTCCATCCTACTTATGAATAATTGGCCCTCCACCTTTAGACAGATTATACAAATTGAAATTGTAAACCACCTTTGTGCAGGCAATTTGCCACATATTGATACATTAGGCAAGATAATTGAACAAAATCCTTCAATCCCTCTGAGTTCGACAATGAAATATCATATCATAAATAAAACAGTAAAATGTGACAACTAAATTTAAATTACAGTGTTATAAAACATTAGCTAACAAAATGAGTGTGATATGAGGATTTGTGGGGCCGGCATGGAAAACTCTTGTATTATTGGTTATTACTCAAGGTTTTGAAAAGCGGTTGCGGTTGCGGTTGCGGTCGCCGTAACAGTGGCGGTGATGCGGTTGCAGTTGCGGGGTGTAAAGACCGTAGTGTAACGGTTGCGGTAACCGGAACCGTGAATTTTTTTATTTTTCGCACAATTTGAATAAAACTTACCAATACGCATATTTTTTTCCATGATCACATTTATTGGGTTAAAAATAAATATTGATCAATTTTTGTAAATTTTTAAGTATGATCCAATATATTTCATATTTTTAAATCACTATAAACTAAGTTTTTTACATTTTATTTTAATAATTAATGACTTTATATTTTACAACAAATTAATCACTAACTATTATATATAAGATAAATAATGACAAAAGTAAGAGAATAAATAAGAGCCTAAATATATATATATATACATATTTTAATCAAGCCAAATAGATAATGACCACACTTGTTATTATTATTATTTTCAAACAATATATAGATAGACACACACAAACAAAATGATTTAGTAATAGCAGCTAAATAGAATAGCATAGGTCTTATAGTTTCAACAAATCAATAACATGTTTTTCATCTTCCCTCTTCTCTCTCTCTCTCTCTCTCTCTCTATCTCTATCTCCTCTATTTTCTCTCTTTATTTTCCATCTTCCCTCTATCCCTCTTCCCCCATTTTTAGCTTTTTTTTGTGTTTTTTTTCAAAAGAAACAGTTTGGAACCGTTACGTAACGGTGCGTAACAGGCCATTACGGCTGTTACGGCACCGTTACGACCGCTACAGTAGCCGCTATAGCCGACACACCTGTGAATCTCAATCACACTGCAAAAGTGGCCGTAACGGGTGGCGGTAACCTCCAAAACCGTTACGTAGCGGCGTTACGTAATAGTTGCGGCCGCTTTTTAAAACCTTGTCATTACTTCAACTTGGACAGGTAATTTTTTTTCGCCAACACACGCATGTCACCATACCATACCATACCTTAGTGAGGAAGGATTGCCAAAGGGAGTGTATGTAAATAGACCTAGAAACAGTAAATGCCTTCAGGGCCTGGACCTAAATCATTTAGGCCCAAGCATAGAATAACCAATACTCCTAAAAAAAAATTTAAAAAAATTACGGAATGGAAGTTAAAATCAAATTACATGTATAAGAATTAACCCCCCATACCATCTCAGGTAGAGCAGTAATTTATTTTGGTACAACCACATAATCCAAATGGATTACGCCAAACTAGAAAAAGTACTCAGGGCCAAACCCAACCTAGCAAACTAACCAAAGCATAATAAGCCTCCATGCTTGATATTGACTGGGTGGCTTAGATGGGCCAATCTAGAAAAGCTCCCCGCCAAGACACCAATTAATCTCTTTCAGATGATTTCAAGATACGGAATTGTTGACTTCACTCCTAGTCAAATTATTTGAAGAGGTGCTAAGGCTCTACTTGGTTGGGGGATTTGGAGAGGGATTTGGAAAAGGAAAAGGTAAGTAAAATATGAATAAAATAAATATACTTGCATTTCAACTAATTTCACATACCTTTTCCCTTTCTCTTTCCAAATCCCTCCCCAAATCCCCCAACCAAACACAGCCTAAAGGAAAATATCAAAGACCATACTATTGTGTCTTAAAACCCCACAAGTTCATTAAATTTGAGCACAATACATAGAAAATTAACTCTGAATAAGGAGTTTTGAATTCAGGAAGGTCTAAATATTAAGATGAAATTCAGGATCTATTTGGAAATCTTTTTTTTTTTTTTGGAGAAG